AGCGAAACCAAGGATAGTAACAATTTCGAAAAGAAATATATCGATAAAAGCGAAACCAAGGATAGTAACAATTTCGAATTCGAAAAGAAGCATATCGATAAGAGTACGGATAATTCTAAAAATATCGATAAGAGTATCGATAAATCTAAAAATATTGATAAGAGCAATAGCGACAATTCCATTAACGATTCCACTACCAATAATGGTGATAATGGTATTTCTCATTAGTTGTATCGTAGTCTCACTTGCTTAATTCTGTGGTCAAAATTCTCTGTCTTATTTCAAATGCAATCTTTGATATCATGAGGCACAAAATGCCCTGTTATTTAACATTTGAACATTAGAATTATAAAATGAATGAGTTATATTTATATAAATGTTAGTTGAAGGTTGTTGAAGGTTGTTGAAAGATAGTTTTAAAATTATTGTCAGTTCGTTGAAGGTAGTTAAAAGTTGTTGAGAGTTAGTTGAAGGTAGTTGAAAGATAGTCGAAAGATAGTTGAAAGATAGTTGAAAGAGTAAATAGGTAAATATGTTTTGTATATTCAATTAATAAAATGGTTGCAACCACAAAGCGTATCCCACAACATATAAAACAGTTGATTGATCAAATAGAGAAGTGATTTTTTGTTCAAGTAGGTTATTTTATTGATACTCTTTTCAATTACGTATATAATTGATTGATTTTGCTTTCATATTAGTTATGCTTCAATTAATATGTCTTCAGCTTAGCTTCAATTTCGGACTGCAAAGACGAACTTAAAAGTTGTTCCAGTTTCAACACCGAAGTAAAACCAGGTCAGTATACAATCATCAAGTTAAAAGGTACATCAAGGCAAATAAATACCAGGACTTTCAGAGAGTCCAGCTCCAACCGGATCTCCAGGTTCTGTGTGCCATGTAGAAGACTAATGGTCCAATTAGTGAACAAAGTCATTTGGAGAGCAATAAGACCATAAGAGCAACCAGACATTGACCACCCGGTTCAATTCTGTGACTAAACTCCCTAAGAGCATTCAATTTTCAACTGTGAATATCCTTAGTTATTAAAACAAACAGATTTGACAGCATTTGAAATATTGAAATTTGAAGTTACATATGTAAAATGAATGAGAAATATGCGTACTCGCAACGTAATATAAAGATTAAGTAAGTATGCTTTGGTATATTCGATTAATAGAAATTCGTAGCCTCCGGAAATGCAGGTCGGAAGAAATAGCATGAGGACAGGAACCGAGCAAATATTGAAGAGATTAGAAATTCAATTAAGAACTCTATTAAATATTCGTTCTTTTAAATTGTTCATAAAGCCATGGTCATAAATATTAATTAGATCGTCTTCCACCGATTCCATTTTTCGTAGTTTAATGCCATCATTCGACGAAAATAGCACTTTTTCATTCTTTAAACTAATGAACACAGTTTCGTACGAACCATTGTCGTGATTCATTATTACACATTTCTCCACATATTTTTCATTGGAATTACTATCAATGACTTGATAAAGCGAACCAAGGCCAACTAAATACTCAACTTCTGACCATTTATCGCATTCATTAGTTGTGACGCCTAGATACAAATATCTCAAATGTAAACCAGTAAATAAAACAGCTATCATTATGAATATAATGCATAGTATTAATAACACGCCAGTAGCCTTATTTGAATCATTTGTAGAAATAATTGTTTGCCAATAACTTAAAGTTGGAAATTCAGCTTTCGCAGAAGACATCGCTTGATAGCATAAATACCCTCCGTAACCCAATAGGTTGATATTCGCTATTAAAAAACCCACGAACCATTTATAATTATAATAACCAATACAATTGTTGACCCATATACAGTGGTGATCAAACAACATTATACAATTATTGCAAATTGAACAATGCTTTGACCTCGCTGGCTTGATAATCTCACAAGTGGAACAGTAGTTATCAGCAAAGAATATCAAATTATTGTTTTGGAAAAAACTATCTACTTTGTCCACATTACCAGTGGTTATTCTGCCAGGATTACTGAATGTGGTCATGAATGTGTCTATGAAAATGGACAAGATTGTAAATGCGATGTAAGCTGAATGAAATCTACCTTTTCTTACGAATAAAGGTAGAAGTTTATAAACCTTGGTAAAAAACTGATGCAAGCAGAAACTAACAACGATAATATAGAATATCGGGACCAACCATCCTGAATAATAAACTAACTTATTGCCAAATACTTGCGAATCAATGTAATTGATCCAAGCAATAATATTATGATTCCATTGTAATATTTTTAATCGTAACTTATATATTGGAGTATTCCTGAAATTGGGTGAATTACCAAATATCACTATACTAATTAATATAGCAGACAATAATATTATGCATATTATAACAGTAAATGGTAAACTCATGCTTACATCCTATGAAAAGCTGGAGTGGAAAATTTATCGCAGTGCATAAAATACACGTCTTGAGATACAGTTAAAATTTCAGATATAATACCATAAACGAATTAAACGACGGTACCATGAACAGTTTCGATATCTTACGAAAGGAACAAGCTAACATAGAGCACCTATTAAGGACAATTCCATTTAATGACAATTGTAGTGTTGATTCAAAGCATTTCTTAAATATTTATCAACTAACTCATGAAGATATGCTGAAATTAAATGGGAATGATGTTAAATTCCCGATTGATTCTAATAAATTACTTAAATTAGGCATATCTTTGGGAAACTTGATAAAATCATTACAATATGATGAGGAAGCATACTCGCAACAAAAACAGCAACAACAACAAAGATTATTCATGAATAGTTTGGATCCTAAAGCACGCAAAATTAATACAAACCCCAGTAACAAGGAACCCTACAACCCATTTAAAGACCAGCAACCCAATGACTCAACAAATAACGCTGGAAATACAATTCAACCGATATATCAAATAAAATTTATCCGGAATTTATCAAGTATACTCAAGAATTTTGATATTGGTAATAATTATTCTGTAAGCCAAAAACTACAAGAGGTATCATCAAATAGTTCAAATGTAACTTTGAATCAATACGACGTCTCTACGTCTCCAATCAAGTTAAATTCCAATCAATTGTTGATCGAAAAATTGGAGATTAACGTTAATTTAGATACAATATTCATATACAAAATAATTATTCAGCTAATTCTGAAGATTTACGCTAATATTGAAAAACACTTACTCCATATCAGGCAAGCCCGCTCTAATAATGAAGAGATACCTAGTAATCCACCGAAGGCAAATCCAGCTGTCTTCTCCCCTACTTCCAATAATACCGGTTCTTCAGGGGCGCCCGTTGATGAATACGATAAATTATTGAAAAATGCCATTAACAAGATATCTAATGGATTAATTGATCCATTTACAAGATTAATTATCAACCAAGTTGTACTGCCATCGATTAATGGTCAAGTGAACAACTTTTTGAGTAGTTTAACCTAGTGAATATGATTGTAATAAAATTAATTAGATAAACCACCAGTTTGCGAACCTTCTCCATATAATATGTGAAAATCTTCTGCCTATAACTTTACCAATCAATGGAAATATTATCAAATTAATTAAATTATTTATTTGTTTCAAGCTTTCTTCCCATTGTTCTTGAGCTGTCAATTCATATTCTGAGCCTGAATCATCATAATAATAAGAATCTGAATCCGTCAAGTAATCACTGTCTGTTTCATCAAGGTCTTGTTGTGTTGGTACATCAATTTCTGTCATTGTTCTAGTTGTATAATTTAATATCAGAGTTTATATGTTGACTAAAGGTACACGATTTTCTGTTGATGAGATGTAGATTTTTTGCCAAAAAAAATATTCTGGTAATTTTGATTAGATCGATTGTATGCTTAAATCAATATTTAAAAGAATTCAAAGAGTCTGGAGAATGGCAAATATAAATATAAAAGAGTTCAACACGATAAAGGAAGGAAAGGCGGTGGTCTTGACCCCAAAAGAAGACAAGGTTTTTTATAATCCTATCCAACAATTCAATAGAGATTTGTCTGTCATGGGTATTAAGGCATGGACAGAGCTCTACATGGAAAGTAAGGCTGGAGAAAGAGAAAAAGCAAATAAAAAAAGGAAACTTGAAAATGGTGCCGAAGAAAAAATGAAGGACAAACCGTTTATTAAAATATTGGAAGCATTATCAGCTACAGGACTTAGAGCCCTTAGATATGGGCATGAAATCCCGCAAGTGAGCAAAATTGTCGCCAACGATTTATTACCAGAAGCAGTTAAGTCAATAGACAGAAATATTGAGTATAATCAATTAACGGACAAAGTTGAATCTAACTTAGGTGATGCTATCAAATTCATGTCCAGCACGAATGAAAAATTCCATGTAATTGATTTAGATCCATATGGAACTGCCACACCCTTTATTGATAGTGCTATACAGGGAATAAGAGATGAGGGATTATTATTAGTGACATGTACTGATGCCGGTGTTTTGGCCGGGTCAGGGTATCCAGAAAAGTGTTTTGCATTATATGGGGGCCATAATTTTGGAAATTCCAATGTAAGCGGTGAGGCTAACCATGAAGCTGGAATAAGATTAATATTGAATATGATTGCAACAAATGCGGCTAAATATAAAAAAACTATTGAGCCATTGGTATCCTTATCAATTGATTTCTATTTCAGACTTCTCATCAAAGTCAAAACAAGTCCAATTGAGGTCAAACAATTAGCTAGTAAAACCATGCTAACATATTATTGTACTGGATGTGGAAATAAGTTAAACCAGCCGTTAGGAAGAGTTGTTGAAAGTGGAAAACAAAACAAAAAGTTTCAAGTTCCCAAACTTGTCAATATAAACTCTAAGTGTGAATATTGCGAGGGAAATTATAACATAGCTGGACCAATGTGGTATGGGAATTTACATAATGAAGAGTTTATTAATCGAATGCTTAAAGTCAATGCCGATTCGGATAAGGAAGTTTATTGTACAACTGAAAGGATTAAAGGGATGCTAACATTAGCTAAAAACGAAATGGAATTACCATTCTATTTTAATTTAAATCAGTTATCATCCCTTTTCAAATCCCCTCCAATTCCTATCAACGATTTCTGTAGGAGTGTCGGGAACTTGGGATATAATGTTTCTTTAACTCACGCGAAGAAGAATTGTATAAAAACAGATGCTCCTTGGGATGTGGTCTTAAAAATAAACAAGCAATGGTTAGCCGAATCTAATAAAGCCTTGTTGAAAACTTATGAGCAGAAGTTAGCCGATTCTCCAGAGAACGAGACTCTTTTATCTAAAATTGATTTCTACAAGGAAAACATAGACGGAAATCCTAATTTGACGAGTGGCATGGTTGGGTACAAAATCTTGAAGAATTTGCCTAAGAATGCCAACGACGAAGTCATCAACTTTAAAGACGATAACGACGTCAGCCAAAAAATTAACAAATTAAGACATTTGAAGATGGTTAGGTATCAAGAAAACCCAGCTAAAAACTGGGGTCCAAAAGCAAGACCAGGGAAATAATCCCTTGTAATATTAGAGCTGCATTAATATATAATAATAATTGTACCGTCGTAGACTTTTCATATAAAGCATTGTTAGTTTGTACACAGCGCTATTTAGAATATGAATAAGAAGAATGTATGGTAGCGGTTCCATGTCATCGTTTCATAACCCTTTTTAAGCTATTACATCGGATGACAAACAAGCCGATGCTCTGCACTTAACATTGTAATCTGACACACGATTTGATTGCCGACGGTTCTCAGATTCTTATCATATCACGCCACAATGCCAGAGCTCCAATGCTATATTGTACGTCACGACCTAGCCACCCCTATATACCTGATCGGACACGAAACACGAATTTCAATTCTTCCGAAGGCACCAAATTTCCCGAGGCCCCACTATATAATTTTTCGCCCTCCAAGCCTACATTGAAAGATTTCACTGAACTTAGTATATTACATTAATTAATTAGTGGTCTCTATAAACTGTATTATTATTAGTACATTTCTTAATATTAAACCTGCAGTAGCGGATTCAACTCTAATAAGTTAACTTAGAATAATAAAGCAACACCAGCAGCAGCAACAGCACCAACGACACCAGCACCGACGATTGAAGCATCGGATTCACCAGTAGAACCAGTAGAACCAGAACCGTTAGAAGAACCAGCAGAACCGTTACCAGCACCACCAGCGGTACCATTGGAAGCACCACCAACAGTACCGTTGGAAGCACCACCGACAGTGGAGTTAGAAGCAGCGGAAACAGCGGAGACAGCAGCGAAAGCGACGATAACAGATTTGAATTGCATTATGTGTATTAGTAAAACTTGTAAAGTATAGGGAACAAAAAAGTTTTTTGAGTATGGAAGAATTTTCCTGATATTTATACTTTAGGCTTAAACTTAATATTCCTTTTTAGGAATAATTATTCCTCCTCTTGTAAATTTCTTTTGTTGCTGCCCGAGCATAGCCATCCTGTATATAACTTCTTCTCTCTTTTATTTTCTTCCGCCTTTGTTCGAATTAGTACCGAAACGGTAAAAACTCTGTCCGAGGGTGCCAAGTATATCTAGGTTTTGGCGTAACGAGACCAATCAAATCGTGTTTTATTCAAGTAGAGTCGTGTCGCGTTTGTCTTTGACAGGAATGAATAGGAATGTACATTGAATGAAAATTGGAATGAATAGAGTGGTGACTACGACATAATAGCTAAAAAAAGAATCTGACGTAATGAGATGTCGCCCGATGAATTACTTCTAGAAATCGTGAATTGGAGGAAACTTGAGGGGGGTGAAACTTACATAATCAGACTAAGTAACCACTTTGTATAGGTTGGCTCAGCTTTATCAAAACACATTGATCGATCGCCCTGGTGTAGATGTCAATAAACTATCAAAGACATCTTAGTAAATATACGAACGATGTGTTGAGTCAGGTGTGTACAACGTGCGGGCTCACTGTTAAGCCGAAAAAGCAGGACAAGATCGATGCAATCACCAACGGGATGCAGATGGTAGCGAGGCTTCCGACGAAGATCAATATATTGGCAATAGATATTGGGGTGAAAAACCTCTCATACTGCAAGCTATCGCAAGTAGGAATTGGGGGCGACGAAAGACCTACACTAGATATCGACCAGTGGAAAAAAATCGATTTGCACGAACAGTATGGATCGACGTATCGACCATTGACGAATGATATGACTTCGTTGGTTGACTCGAAGAGATATTTGAGCCACCTTGCATTCGAATTGGTCAATGATATAGTGATACGACGGGATGAGACTCCTCATGCAATAGTGGTTGAAAACCAAAGGACAAGATCGAATCAGCTTCTGTCTACGCTACCTAACGTACTACTCAACTATACACTTGAGAATATGGTATATTCAACGATTTGGACGCTTCAACAACAACATCCAAGGTTACGAGAGGTGGTGGTTACACCTATGAATGCAAGCAAAATGTCACACTTTTGGTTAAATCGATTCATTGACTGCCCGAAGAACGCTCAAACTAAGAAATTACGCATACAGCTATTTTTTAAATGGCTATATGGCGATAATGATAATGCACCATTTGTCCATAGCTTCAACTTGCCTGAAAAATTTGGTGATTTATCATCGCTACACAAATCAAAGTATCTATTGGATCAACTCGGGTTGCCTGTAGTGAACAATAAAATCGATGATTTGGTTGACAGCTTATTGTACGGCTTGACAACTCACAGGTCTTTGCAAAACCAGCATTCTTTACTAGAGCTTATAAATTGCAACGGAGATTTATTGAAGTTTGTTGAAGATAGAGACAAGGAACATTTTAGGCTAATTCAAAAGGTGATTATTGACAATAATCTTGAATTATTAAATAAGCCTTCGAAAGCTAAAAAAACTTCAGCAAAAACTTCTGCAATTTCAAAACTATAGTAATTTTCCTACCTACATTTGTAATTTCGAATAAAGTCTTTCTTCTCTTGAATTACATGAGGGGCACTCACTTCAGCTCCCTAATAATTCATTCCATTTAAATTAATATTTAGATACATAAAATTAAATAAGACTGGACAACCATTACGTATGCTTAGTCTTAAGAGCAATAAGCGACCTCTTAGCTGTTGAGCCAGCCGATGCAGGATTAACACCAGTTATTAACTTGCCATCAGCAACAGTATAATCATCCCAAGGACCAATGGGTGCTAAATACTTGGCACCGAATTTCTTAGCAACATCCTCTACTGATAACAAATTATTTTCTTTCATAATGCTATCTACTTTCAACATAACTTCGCCAAGATCAGTGAAACCTGTTATAGACTTGCCTTCAATCAAAGGCTTACCAGTGGCTTGATCAATCAATCCATCGAAAATTGCCCCTCCATGGCAGACAGCAGCAACAACACCACCTTTCGCCCAAATCGCCTGAGCTAAGCTTTGCAACCCCTTGGCCTTTGGGTAATCAAATAAAGTAGCATGCCCTGCAGACGCAAAGAAGACCCCGTAGTCATCTGCATTGACTTCGGATGCTTTTTTGAGATTCTTCAAATGTTGATTAAAGTCAGATTTAGAATCCTTATACACTTCTAAGTCTTTACCATTCAAGAAATCTGGAGTAAGGGAATGCTCGTCGAATCCAAAACTACCAGTTTCAGATACGAAATCAACTTCATATCCGTTATCCTTAAATATTTCAAATGGGTGCAAAGCTTCTACCAAAAACAATCCTGTTTTCGCACCATCGTGGTAAAACACTTCATTATAAGAAGTGACTGCTAGTAAAATTTTCTTATGAGTTAACATTATGATATTAATAATTAATTGATTAAGTATTAATTGACTAAGAAGAGAATAAGTAGGTGCAATTAAGAATTTCTATAAAACATATAGTTGCGTGCGCACCACTCAACAGCAAGCATTGTTATCCTGTACGTCATGTGTCATCTAGTGTCGACTTGCTACAATATTTATTATATTCGTGTACTTCATTACTATACAGACTATACAATATTTTGTGTTTCAACAGGAATTTTATCGGTTCTAATATAATAGTTGTTATTTGATGATTTCTCATTCGCATCTGGTTGAGCTTCTTTCGCATCATTATCCTGTATTTCGAAGATCATGTCATCATTCTCTTTGGATACCTTACCTGCATTGGTGGTACGTTTTAATGTAGTAGACTGACCATTGACACTACCATTATCATCGTCATCTCCATCATCAACGTCTTCGTTCTCATCATCTTCATCGTCATCAGCATCATCATCGTCATCATCGTCATCATCGTCATCATCGTCATCATCGTCATCATCATTACCTTCTTCTTCTTCATCTTCATCAGCATCTCTTTCATCTTCATCCTTTTCGGCAATGTTTCTCTTACCATCACTGACGTAATTGATAGAATTAATTCTTCGTCTTAAAATATCCACGATGTCCAGCCATTCCCTCATACCACCCATCCCGATATCTCCACAAACTAATACCTTTTCAACTGGTTTCAATACTTCAATACCAAAACCGTACTCTGGTGATGACAATAATAATAGTTGTTTTGCAGTAATTGGGTGGATATACATATGTGTATTCATGGCAGGTGCCACTAGTATCGGCTTTTTGACATTTACGGAATTCTTATTAACATTGGTAGAAGCCATTGTCGTATTAATAGGACTCCAAGATCTAATAATCGATGTTAACAAATTATCAGCTATACCATTCGTAATCTTGGCCAATGTATTGGCTGAAAGAGGTGCAATTAAAAAGATATCTGCCCATTTTCTTAATTCGTTATGCAATATCAAATTATCAAATGGATTCTTAGGTTTTCTAGACGAGGATACATTATTAGTTGAAACCGTTGTAGTTGCAACGTTATGTTCATTATAATTAGCCCATTCATCTTCATCCCTCCAAATCTTAACATCACTATGGATCTTCAATCCCTTTAAAAAATGCGTAGCCGACTTGGTTACTACTAACTGAATGGATATTTTCGACTTGCCGTAAATATTAAATAATTTATCTACAATCATAGGAACTTTGATAGTTGCTACCGACCCTGTACATCCTAGCAATATATGGATCTTCTCATCATCTGACTTCGTCAAATACTGTTGAAATGGAACTGGAGGTCCACTTGGCGATGCAACTACTGTCTTGGTCGATTTTTTTGTATTACAAGATCCGCGAGGCAGGTTGTTATTATTGGTTATATTAATTGGATGCGGTACTTGTTGAAATTCTTCCAGCGATGCAAACTTAGCTTGCGATAATGGAGGAGGTGAAGGGGAACTAAGTCTTGTAGGTTTATGACTAGAGTCATCGAATGTATATCCTCTCTTTAGATGCGGTGGTGTCTCCAAAACAGGCGAGTTGACTCTTGAAGATTGATTGCTTGGTGTAATGTAACCTTGTGAAGTGTTTGTGGACACTTGCTGTTGAGGCTTTATGGCATATGTCTGATTATTTGCAAAGAATTGGAATATTTCACTTGTTGTAGAACTATTTCTACTGGAATTAGTTATATTAGGATTTCCTTGTAACGATGTTTTTCTAGATGAAGGTAAAGACTCTGGATTTTTTGAGTTTGCTAGATTGACTGACGATGGCTGAGATGAGATTGTAAACCTACGTAATTTTTCTTGGTTATCCAAATCACCAAAAGTAACAGATTGCAATGGTTTCACATTCTCACCATCAACTTGTAGTTGCAGAGATTGCCGTGGCCGATGTGATTCTGATGGTGTACCTTCCAGTGTATACTTATCTGAAGAAGACTGATTCATCTTTATGGATATTTAGGATTGTTTTATTTGCTATTACCCAGCAAAGAGCTGAATATATGATACTAAAATCCCATGGGAGAAAATCTGAACGACATTTAGTCAAAAAAATCGATACACACGACATTAACACGCTGTTGAAATTCCTCTATACTTTTAGAACCTCCGGAGAAAGTAATTCCAAAGAGAATACATCCTACTTGTGCAATGAATATTCGTCATCAATTGGTCCAGTTTTTGAACTTGGCACTTGTCCTTTCTTCAGCTTTTATGGCGTGGAAAACTTTGTCAGTTATAACTAATTCTCACTCCCCAATTGTTGTGGTTTTATCAGGATCTATGGAACCCGCTTTTCAAAGAGGAGATATATTATTCTTGTGGAACAGAGATAATCGTGCTAAGGTCGGAGATGTAGTTGTCTATGAGATTAAAGGAAAATCAATCCCAATTGTTCATAGAGTATTAAGAGAACATCACAATGCGGAACTGAAGCAGTTTTTATTAACTAAAGGTGATAATAACGCAATTGATGACTTAGGCTTATATGCCAAAAAGCAAGCATATTTGAATCAAAAGACGGATCTTGTTGGGTCAGTTAAGGGCTATTTACCGATGGTTGGTTATATCACGATCTTGATAACTGAAAATATATATTTCAGATACACGTTATTAGGTCTAATGGGAATTTCGAGCCTTTTATCGAATGAATAATTAAGCGATGTATATTAATTTAATAAAATGATTTATTTGTTATCCTTTTTTAACGTGTAGTTAGTGTCTCGGATGAGTAGATTCAGAAGGCTGTTAGAGGTTTGAAACATTGCAGAAGGGAATCTGATAGGAAACTGGGAATTTTTTTCATTAAGCAGTTGGGGTCAGGATAAATGAAAGTCCTGTCAAACCCTTTACCATAACTGTATCAATATCAAGTATATGTAATATTTGAAGTGGTTTCGCAGCAAAAAAAATGCCTTCAGCCAGATTCGAACTGACGATCTCCTCATTACTAGTGAGGTGCCTTACCAACTTGGCCATAAAGGCAATGTATAAATTTTGATAAAATATGTATATATAATATATATAGTTTACACAATTTCTTAAGTGAAAAATACTGACTTCTCCAAAACTCATCATTCCCTTTCATAGATATGAGTTTCATTGGTAAAAAGGCCTTAGTTACCGGGGCATCTAAGGGGTTAGGTTACGCATTATCACAAAGGTTAGCACAGTTAGGTTGTTCAGTTACTTTAGTTGCCAGGAATGATAAATTGCTAAAGACGAATATCGATTCACTTCCTGTAATTGCATCCCATCAGCGTCACAGTTATATAAGATGCGATCTCCAAGAGTTATTGAATAATGAAGATTCTGATTCCAATTCGAGAATACATGATGAATTAATAACTTGTTTGTCTGATGTTTCGATTTTAGTGAATTGTGCTGGAATAACTACCCATAAATTATTACCTAGAATAAGCAGCGATGAAATAGTGTCTACAGTCGGCTTGAACTTGATAGCCCCCATAATATTAAGCAAGCTCTCATATAGACCAATGATGAAAGTTGCAAGTAAATTAAAAACGAGTCTGGATTCTGGATCGTTCAAAAAGCCTATTGTGTTGAATATATCATCTATACTTTCAATGACTGAGAGTACATTGCCAGGGACGGCGGTTTATGCAGCGCTGAAAGCAGGAATTTTGGGATTTACTAAGTCTTTAGCTGCTGAGCTTAAAGGTAAGATAAGGGTCAATGCATTACTTCCAGGATTAATCGTTGGAACCCAAATGGGTTCCGATGCTATGATAGATGATAGCGACTTAAAATTGAAAACAGTTTCGTTAGACGAAGTAGTAAATAAAGCAATAGAGATAATATCTAATGATTCTATAAATGGCCAAAATGTTATAATTGATGGCGAGAAAGGTAAATAATTTATTCGTATATTCAGTTTAAACGTATCTATTTATTGAATAGTTGTATTAATTGGTTGTTATTACCAAACCAGCGAATTAGATTGTCCATCTGTATCATTATCATCATCATTATCAATATCACCATCAGAATTATCTAGCCTGGAATCATCGATTTCTTCGCTACTGGAACTGGTAATTGTGTCCGTTTCGAAGAGTATACAGTAAAGGTCATCAATCAGGACATCTTTAAACCAAGCCCTATTCCCATAATATTTTCGGAAACACAATTGTGAGATTTGAAGTAGCGTTGGGTCCTGTTGATCGAATAACCATACTAAAAGATCGTTATAGCTATTGTTACAAAGCGGAAATTCTTTAACATTCGAAGGGCTTAGTTTGGAGTTTTGAATTAATAGTATGAAAGAGCTGATTTCCTCAACACTATGCGGATCTATCGTGAAAGCATCGATCGTGTCTAGATAATATAATTTTAGAAGTTCAAGCGTTCTGTTTAGTATGCGTAGGTTGTCTCTAATCATTCTTAAGTCGACTGTAAAGCTTCCATCTGTGTTAATCTTTGAAAAGAACGTACTCTCAGACTTAGCCTGATTCAGAAATAGTATATCACACTGACGTACTTGGAAATCAGTAAAACTAATAAGTGCATGAAAAATTTCATTATTACCAGGATATAATGAATTAAAAACAAGAAACTCTTCCTTGACAGGTAGCGAGAGCCACGTATGTACGAAGAAAATAACATTGTCGTACGCAAAATGCAAGCAATTTAGGATATCGCGACTTGCCAGGCACTGTTTAATATTGAGTCTAGTGCTTGATATTAGTTGAGTGATAATTAAAATTAAAATATTGTTTACTTGCGGATGCTGGGGATTCTTCTTAATCATCTGATAAATATCATGCAAAAAATCATGAGGATCATTAGTATCATAGGCTGTATCAAGATTCATTAATATTTGAAGACTTAATTTATTATTCAAGGATATAGTATCAAGTGTTAAAATTTCATAGGAGTCGGAACTCGTAACTGTAGATTCAGAACCGAAAGAATTGATTAGAATTCTCCAATAGCCTATTTTATGAAATGTCCAAAATATGTTTAGATTTCGATCCCTGTTTTGAGTTGCATTAAGAATATTGACTATATTGTCAAATCCGGTACTATCAAAATAATCTGGCCCATAAGTCCAATATTCTGGAAAGAAACTTCTCGATATTGATTGTAGCATTGCGTTACCGGTTCTTTCCAGTTCTTCATTTAGCCAATGTATTAATATAGGTATTAACAAATACAATGTCAGGTCCAGGTTTATGACTAGCAAATGTATTACATATCCAATTAATAAATCAATTCTATAAGTATAAGTTACGACCTCGGGCTGCATTTCCAACCATTCATCTATATCATCTGAAAGAATATCCTGATATTCTCGGAGATGATAAGGAATTGTATTAGGATCGAATAATAAGGATTGATTCATTTCATAGTAAGTAGGCTTTGTGGAAAGTGCCATAAATTTACCAATTTTGAAGGAACATAAGGACGACAATCTAGGCACACTGGAAGTTGATTCATTATTTTTATGCGTTGTGAATACTAATAAATTTATAATATTTCTGAATATGAGGAACATATCATAGTATGATTGATAGAGTTGGCCGGAAATATATGGTTTTAATGATTTTAATCTTTCGAACGAACTTGTAGGCTCTATTAACTTATTTATGTTTGAGATATGTTCCCTCTCTTCTGGCAAATAATCTTTATTCATAGGTAGACGTTCTAGTGAATCATAGCTTTCATCATAATCGCTATCGGAATCATCACTTCTTGCATATTTTCGATCTTCAAGCTTACGAATCTTATTTCTGGGTTGACCAGGTTGATTATCAATGTGTTTTCCGTTAGAGTCATGGTTTCTATTTTTCTTGCTTAGTAAACCTTGTAAACAAGTATCGTTTAATGGGAAATTGAAATCCAATATTGATGGATATTTACCATTCAAATCATTGAGAGCATGAATTTTAGATACTAAAGGCCGAACAATTCTTTTGCATTTAGGAATAGTTAAATTTTCATAATACTCTGGTGAAATTTTTTTGAACATGAAACCCTCTATGCTATATAGGTACCATTAACCAATATACTTTTCTCAGTGGATCAGAATAACAAATCAATGTTTACGTCCCAGATTTTATTTTTCAAGATGGTTACAAAATGCGAACTTTAAATATATTCCTCTTAATGCTTGGGACGTATAAACTAAATGAACTTGGTTTTGTGAGAGGATTGATTATATTAGAGAATGTTAGTAAGATTATTAATTGCTGCTGTATTGTTGTCTATATGTGAGAACATTTTAGTAGTTGGGGGAGCAAAAATTATTGGTGTACCACCCAATGAACAAGACCTTTACAACCCAATAGTCAACCAGGAAACAGGAGAGAAAACTTGGCATTGTCTTGGAGATCCTAAGATAGTATTGAATTATGATCAAATAAATGACAATTATTGTGACTGTCCTGATGGATCTGATGAACCAGGAACTAATGCATGCCCATATGACGCTAGTCGAAAATTCTATTGTCATAATGAGGGCCATATTCCTGGATACTTAGAAAATTTTAAATTGAATGATGGAGTATGTGATTATGAGATCTGCTGTGATGGATCTGATGAATACCTTACTGGTAAATGTGAAAATAAATGTTCAGAAATTCATCAACAATATGTTACATACGTACAAACCTCGAATGAAGAAATGGATATTTCACTTTCAGAAAAGAAGAAATTACTTTCGATAGCACAAGAGAAGAGAGCCAATGCGGAAAATAGAGTTGAAGCTCTTAAAAAAGAGCTAGAATTGAGCCTAAGATCAAGAGATAAAGAGATCGAATCGCAACCCCAAGAAGGCGCACTCGATCAGCTGGTTTATTCACAATTGTCTCCTTATCTCCAAGAATTACAAACGAACATACAATTAGAAAGAAGTAAGCTAGAAGGTTACTCAAAAAATATTGCTTTTTTGGAAAGTATATTGTCTAGCTTGATTGAAAATTATAATCCCAATTTTAATGACTTGGCTGTAAAGGAAACAGTCAATAAGTTTCGCGATTATGTTTCAAATAAAGACGAACAAGAGGCATTTGAAACAAGCTCAATAAAGGTATTAAACTCTTTAGCGGAAGAGTCCGAGAAACTATCATATAATACTCAAAACGAAAATGTGGATATATTTAATCCTGGAATCAGTAATATGATACATTATTATTATACGTCATTTGTGAAGTCATTTATGGAGAGTTCAAAAGACAATGACATGGATATTGAAAAAGAGGAGACAGTTATTCATGCTGAAAGAGAGGATGTTGAATCATTAAAGAATGAAATTGCAAAAATCAATGAAGATTTGGGCAAAGATTATGGAAAGGACGACATCTTAAGATCTGTACAGTCACAGTGGATTAAAAAGCGTCTTGGAGGATATTCTTACAATATTGGATTTTTGGACTCGATCTACCAAGATAGTATCTTGATCGGTAGATATTCTAGAATTGAAGGTAACAAACTTATTTACGATCAAGGTGCAAAATGTTGGAATGGCCCCCGTAGATCAGGAATAGTTGAGATGATTTGTGGCCCAAAGAATGATTTAATTTCGATTGGAGAGCCAGAGAAATGTGAGTATCACTTGGAATTAATGTCACCCATTGCTTGTAATGAAATGTTAGAAGAAGAATTACTTTCCAATTTTAAAATAAATTATGAAAAATTATAGGTTATCTATTCATTAATAAATCAAATTATATATATATGACTCAGTCGAACTTAATCTTCGTACCTTGAAATCTGGCATTCTTTTGTTTTTCTTCGGCGAGCCTCTTAGCTACCCAAGATGGATGCTCTTTTTCAACAGGTTTAGAAATTTCAACAGGTTTAGAAATTTCAACAGGATTCTCAACTGGATCGTCAGTGTTAGTTCGCGGTCTTCTTTCCGCCAATGGCGCAGTATTTGAACCAGTAGGTGCACTATTTATTTTAGCTTTTAATTCTCTTCTCTTACATCTTTCTTCATATTCCAATCTTTTACGTTCTCTTTCACTCGCAATGATTACTTGCTCCTGTTTGACATGTTTGGCTTCTTTACCGTATTTTTGGGCCCATATCTTTTGCCTCGCCCTTTGACCTCTTCTATTCTTGCGTTGAGTGGTAGCCTCCTTCACAACTTTATCATTGTCAATTTCATCATCTTCATCATCAGAACCACCTGAAAAATAACCATTGGCTAATTCTGGTAATTTATATTCTCGTTTGCTTGAAGCCTTGGCTTCTTGGCGCACATCATCTTCGAAGAAACTGTCATTTGAATTATCACCACTTACATCTATGTCATCTTCCAGATCAGAAAACTCTTCATCTGTCACTTCATTATAATTAACATTAGGATCTAAATCAAACTTTTGTTCTTCTTCATCTGAATCAATTACTAAATTATCGTATACAGCGAATTTATCAAACATTTCTTCGGCATCTATACTTTCTTCACCTCCAACTTCTTTTTCATGATCTTTGGAAGAATCTCCTTCAAGACTATCATCATCGCTGTCATCTTGAACATCTTCTTTATTATCTTCATCAAAATCTGTTTGAATGTCCTTGCCAACTAGGTTCTTTCTTGCATCTCTTTCAAACTTAGTCAAATCACCTCTCACCATTTTAAACGACCATTCAATCTCACTTAGTAACGGCTTAATTGATTTTGAATTCCATAAATTGGATATATAATTGTTCAAGTCTTTACTGTTTTGACAATAATTAATGAAAAATGCTGATGGGTTTGATTTATGCGACTTATCAGTAATTATACTACAAACATCCGATGGCATGTACTTAGGAGGGGTTGATTTCAAGTCCTTAGTGATCAAAACTGAAGATGTAATACATTTAATAAGTTTTGAAGTAATCAATTCTTGAATTCTGTCTTCGGCCCCAAAGAATTCAAGTAGACCATTTTTTGAATCATCATTTTTCCATTTATTAACATCAGATTTAATATGCTTGTTAACTTCTTTATTTAATTTTTTATAAGCCCCATAATATTTCTTATGGAAATGATCTTCCTTCAAGGCCAATATTTCTTTCTCGGCTTCATCTCTAGATAAGGGTAATTTCTTCAAAAGTTTATTATTATTTCTAGCTGATAAAAGTTTTTTTGTATGGGGAAACCTTGGGTTTGATCCGTGGTACTTCGCTTCGAGTAAATCTAGTTTCCACATACTCTAATAGTTTATGCTAAAGAAGTCTCTATTAATTTAGTCTATTATTGCAAACTATTAAATAATTATTGAACTAGATGAGATGAGACTAAATTTAATTTTTTTGATGCGATCTTTTGCTCAATTTGATTGTGAAAAATTATGGGCCATTATACGTTAGACATAACAAAATGACTAAGATAGATAAAGAAGTGACACCAAGTCAACCTGATGAACTGTCCAAAGATCAAAAGAGAAGAAAGTTAAATAAACACGGAAAAAAAGAACGTACTCACTTGCAATGTGAATATTTCATAGCTAAAAAGAATAGAAGATGTTGTATGCAAAGGAAAGCAGATCAAAAATATTGCTCCGAGCACCTAGTTGATAATAATGAACCAGATAAAGGTGAAAGAGTTCCATGCCCATTAGATAATAATCATAGTGTGTGGAGCAAAAATTTGGCAAATCATTTAAAAAAGTGTAATGCAAAGCCGAAAGAAAAAGAAGAAATATGGTACGAAAAAGATCTCAATACGAAGTTTGGAGTGGATATTACAGAAGATTCAGAAACCAAGAATGATGATAATGACAATGATGAAGATGATCTCAATGAAAAGGAATTATATGAAAAATATATACCTATTTTGAGAAATTTAAAAGGCCATTTTGAACCTTTAGAGTTTAGTATTAGTAAACATAGCGGGCTAAAGAATCGCTTGTCTGAGGTATCTAACCAGAAGCATGCAATACAACAATCATCATTGATAGGAAATATGAAAAAGAGAGGATTGTTGGATATAGATAAATTTTATTTAGAGTTTGGCTGTGGAAAAGGAGAACTATCAAGATTTGTTAACTTGAGTGTCCTAGAAGATTTACAAATCGAAGACATACCTCGAAAATCAAAATATGGGTACGGATTTATCGATAGGGGTGTAAATAGAATGAAAATGGATTCCAAAATAGTAAAAGACGCCAAAGAAAATAGAATTGAGGTAGATCTCACAACCAAAAGGTCAAAGATAGACATTAAAGACTTGAATGTTGATAAATTTTTAGAAAATATAGATCCAGAACATGTGGTTGTCATTTCAAAACATTTATGTGGGGCTGCGACAGACTTGACTTTCAAGCTGTTACTTAATTCGTCATTATTACAAGGAAATAGTGATAGATTCGGTGGGCTTCTAATTGCAATGTGCTGCAGGCATGTCTGCGCATACGATCAATTACTTCCAGAATCAAGAGCATTTTTACAAAGCAACGGGTTTCGTTCATTGAGATCATTCAATATTTTGAAAAAAATAGTTTCATGGGCTGTTTGCGGTAAACGCGATGGCATCAATGATGAATGTACTGGCGAGCACATAAGTGGATTAAGTTTCAAGGAAAGAGAAGAGTTGGGGTTAGTTGCACGGAGATTAATTGACGAAAGTAGAGTTTTTGCCATGAACCTCTTAGTTAATCCATTAGGATTCCATACAGAAATGTTCTGGTACGTGGAAAAGGAAGTCACTCTTGAAAACGTATGTCTCTGCATCATTCCTAATTCGAATTGAAGCCAATACAACTAGTAAATAGGATTACGAAATTAATTATCAATGTATTAGATACGAAAATATATTTCATAGGCTAGAACTAAAATTTGTAACTAAAACCAAACAGGTGAGATGAAATGGTTCACGAACTTAAATCTTATCTTCAGAAACACCGTGTTTCCAGATGGCAACGTAAGGAGTAGTACCATCTTCACGGTAGTTCAATAAGACAACCATTCCATCTGGGTCCATTGATTCACCAGTGTAGAAGTCCCAGTCACCGAAAGAACCAACAATCTTCTTAAAGTAGGTCTTGGCACCATTTTCGAAAGCTTCAATAGCTTCTGGGTTCTTTTCAGCTAAGTGAGCCTTGACTCTCTTCATGTAACCCTTCATGTAGGTCATGAAAGACTTCTTGTCGAAAGAGGTTTGTTGTAATCTGAATGAGTAGACAACGTTGTTAACAGTTTCAGAACCATCTTCTAAGTCGTCACCACCTTCTTCAGCAGATGGGTTAGCACCAATATCAACATCACCGTTGTTGACATTGACCATGGAGCAATCAGCTTCATAGACAACATCGTCAACTAACTTGACTTCGTAAGCGTCAGATAATAATTCGTCTCCAGAAATAACGTCCTTGTAAATAATCATGTTGCAATTGTATGTTGTTTGCTAATATTGGACGGAAATTATTCAGGAATTTTCAATTGATTTTATATAGACAAAATTTTTTTTTCAGAGCACGTGAGCATGGATTTTTATAAAGGCATTTGGCATCTCCTACAATACGAGATCTATTACCCGACCTAAAGAAGTTAACTTCCTAAAACAGACGGAATTGCAAATTAGGTCTTAATAACATCAGCATGAATAATAAGTCTTAAAAATTGTTCATTAATGTTACAAATAATATTACATAGTTCGTCTATATCCGTGTAAAGTGACCAGTAAAGGCCTTTTTTAACCATTCTAGAAGTCTGTCATAGACGACGATATTTCCGTTGTGATACCTTATAGAGTGGTCAGAGTCAGGGAATACCATGAAATCGAAATTTTCGATTGATTCCAAATTGAAGTCGTCAATAAGTTTCAAAGAATTTTGAAAATGGACGTTGTCATCACCAGAGCCGTGCATAATAAGGAACCGGTCTACGTTAGCAAAGTTGGTGACGTTGTGTATGGAGGCAATCTCATAACCCTGTGGATTATCCTGGGGCTTTCTCATGTACCTTTCTGTATAGATAGAATCGTAAAGCTTCCACTTTGTTACTGGAGCGACGGCAGCACAATAAGAGAAGATATGGTCTTCGGAATCAGTTTCAAGGGTTTTCAACGTAAGGAACCCCCCATACGACCAACCCCAGATACCAATCCGCAGACGATCAACGTAGGGCTTCTGGCTCCAGAGTTTTGCTGCAGCTATTTGGTCTAAAGGTTCATAATGGCCCAACTTGTCTCTGACAACAAACTTGAAGTCAGATCCCATTTTTTCATTATAAGAGTTGAATCCAGTACCTCGTCCATCAACTGTGACAACAATACTATCCAATTCGGCCGCGACGACAGAACTGAACGAGATTGCAAAATTTTTAGTCACTAACTGAGATCCTGGTCCCCCGTAAACAAAAAATAAAACTGGATACTTGTAGCTTGGGTCGAAGTTTAATGGTAAAGTTTCGACTGCATTAGCTTTGATTTCTTCACCCGATTTTTCGTCATAACCTAAGCTGATGACGCTGTATCTTATTTCAGGGATCAAGTAATTCTTTAAATTATTTGACAATTCCTCATTAGTTTCGATATTCTTAATATCCGTGTGCTCATGTAAATCAATTAACTTTTGGTACGGGACCTTTGGCCCTTGATAATTAAGTAGCAAATATCTTGATCCAGATGAGAAAGATCCTGAATACCAACCCTCATTTGAAATATCGGTAACATTTTTAATAACAGGTAATACCTGTTGATTAACAATAGCATCATATAAATTCACAGAATGTATATGCCTTTCGATAGAAGATTTTAAAGTGCTAATGAAGTATATTTCATTAGTATTATAATCAAACGAGGCCACACCATCCACGACTTCCCATTGTCCTTTGGTCAAAACAATTCCGTCAGGGTTATCAGGAGGAGAAAAGTATGCCAAATGATTATAACCATCGATAACAAAAGTGTCAATGTAACCATCATTTATACGACCCAAAGACTGGTTTTTTGGAACATACAACGTATTAGATGTGATTTCAAACCACGAATTTTTGGCATTTTGCTTCCTAACCAACTTAGATTTATTAGTGTCAGCAGTAACAAGGTAAATCTCTAAAATATCACTTGCTCTATTGCTAATTTTTACCAATAGATAATTGTCCGAAACCCAAATAACCTCAGTTATAAGCCTGTCTTCAATTTCACTCAAATCAAAATCCATAATGTTAATATTATCAGTCAGTTGTTTGACGACAGCATTTAAATCATAGACAACAAGGTCCACAACAGGATTTGCATAACCAGCTTTTGGATATTTGATTTTTCTATATTCAGGATAATCTTCATAATTGTCTTGAACATAATATGGTATAGAAAATGTTGGAACCAAAGTATCGTTAGTTTTCAAGAACGACAATTTATCACCTTTTGGAGACCACCATAAAACGCTGTCACCAGAAAAAACTTCTTCCTCGTAAACCCAGTCAGGAATGCCATACAAAACATCAGAGCTTCCATCAAACGTAACTTGTTCAATATAGTCATCTTGGAGATATTTAATATAAATATTCTGTTTATAAACAAACGCCACATGTGACGAAGTGGGCGACCAACTCGTGATCGATAGCTTATCTTCTTCATTATATATTGGCTTTATGTTATTCGAAGCAACATCCAAGGTCCAATATATTGCAAACGATGAATGTCTCCAGTTTTGGGTAGTGTTGGTTTTAAGAATCGCTTTAGTTAAATCTGGTGACGCAGTTAAACTGTCTATGTCATATATGATGTTATTATATTGAAACGACGAATTGTTGTACAACGTATATTGGTAATCGGAATCAATAATAGATTTAATTAAGTACCTAGTTTCATTTTCGTTCTCTTCTTTCAAAACATAGGTACCCTTATCGTTATTGATAGATTCCGGCTCTCTTATCCATTGTAGTTCCTTATAGTGCGGTTTGAATAACCCATCTCGTACGGCTGAAAAGTTTAATAATGCCTTATTGCCATTATCAAATGAAAGCGGTCTGTTCAAGTTTAGTTGCTTATCACTACCATTAGTCAATAATGGAGGTGAAATCCTTTTTAAGTAACTTTCTATTCGTAATGAGGCTATTTGGTTTTGGTGAAATCTAGATATTGTTAATATTAAGAAAGCTGTACCCCAAACCAATATGCCTAACAAGACACCCCCATAGAACAAGTTCTTATATCCATTATCCATTAATCTTTTCTTATTAGGTATTTCCTCATGATGCTCAACATCATAGTCGTCCTTTTCACTTTTAACACTCTTGGAGTGGTTAGGCTCCGGTTTTGTCATATTCCACAATAATTATGGAAGATTAAATATACAATATATCTTATACAACTGATTATACCGATGAGTAACAATAAATAATAAGAAATAATAATAATAATAATCAATCAAATATATTCCAACATAGAAAAAATGGCTGGTTATTTCTTTTTGTGTACAAGACTTCCGTTAATCGATTTTTAGGTACTAATTAGAAAAATATATGCGGATTATGAAATTAATTATACAAATTTTGATGTCTATGTATAGGTTTATAAAATACAAATAAATTAGTGTACACGGTGAGAATGGAATAATGATTACCTTAAATGTATAGTCATTTAGAATAAAATAAATCGGCTAAGACCGACATTCTACCCTTCACGATGTCGGCTAATCAAGCTTTATCACTTCCTGGCTGTAACGCAGGGCTGAGCTCGGTTATAATTTTTCTCAAATTAGATCTACGGATTGGTTTTGCTAAGAATCCAGACATGCCACAATTAAGACATTCTTTGACGTTTGCTTCGTCAGCAAAAGCAGTCAAAGCTATAATTGGATTCTTAAATTGTAAATCATTTCTGATCCTCTTTGTTGCCAATAAACCATCGATTTTTGGCATTTGAACATCCATTAGAATGAGATCAAATAGCCCGGATTCTTCATTAGTATCTTTTACCAATTCGATTGCTTCAGCACCATTACATGCCATTGTAATGTTTGTGAATCCTTCTAATTTTAACATCCTTCTGATAACTTCTTGGTTAACCATGTTATCTTCAGCAACTAAAATCTTTAAATGCGACAAATCGTCTAGAACGTTATTCGGAGTTGTAGCCCTTTCAGTTCCCTCAGAGCTAGCCGTTCCCGTTGAAGATTTTGTGAGTAAGTGAGGTTTTTCAAGATCGCTCAATCCTGGTAAATCTAAATGTCTTTTCTTACTTGGATTTGGCGTAGTAGAACCACTTGAAAGACCATTGATTAACTGTGTACTATTGCCATTTAATGAATCATTTGCATATTTTCTTTCAGTATCTGGATCAGATTTAGTCTCACTATAATTAAATGAAGTGTCTATTTGACCAACTTCGCCGCCATCTTTAACATCTCGGATATAATCATTAGTACCACCATTATCATCTCCACTTTCATCAATCAAGTTTACTGCATTAGAATTTAAGTCTGATGTATCCGCAGCCTTAAATTGATCATTTTCGAGTTCAATATCGAATGCAACCTTTCTATTAACTTTAGATTTAGGATTAAATTCGTCTTCACAAAACTGGAACATATCTTCTTCGTCGACCATTATTTCTCCACTTTGAGGCAATGGAACAATAAATGTAAAGGTCGATCCTGTGCCAACTGTTGATTTTAAGGTTAAAGTCCCATTCATCATTTCTGCTAATTGCCTACAAATAGATAAACCCAATCCAGTGCCACCATAGCTCCTTGACAATGTTTGGTCTCCTTGGATAAATGGATCAAATACTTTTTCTTGCATAGCTGGTTCGATACCTGGACCAGTATCAGTTACCTCAATTTGAATGGCCCAAGTTTTAGGCTCATATAGTTTTTTGATTTTATAAACTTTATCTTCTTTGATGACTTCATTAGTTGAAAAACTAGAACTAATGCTCCCTGTACTCTGATGAGACAGCGCACTTGTTATATTACGTGATATAGCTGTCGTATAGCTTCTTGTGTGACCATCTATTTTCGACGAACCTATACTGGATGTTTCATTAAATGCATTGGGGATCAGGGCTTCATTAATACTCTCCATACGACTGCCACTAATGTCATGAATCGACTGGTCTACCGACTTTCTGTCTTCAAGATTAGATTTGGTCGAGACACTTGACAATCTTCGTTGACTGGGTATCATATTTTGTTTGAATTGCGCATTGAAAATTGTGTTTTCATACTCGGCAGTTGACAACGTCAATATACTTGAACTGTCATTGTTTGTATCAAAAGTCTTGTCCTTGCCCGAAAAGGTAGACGACTTGTTACTGGAGCGTTTTTCTTTGTATTCGTCAGATGTATCCGGATTTCCATTGTCATTATTGGAATCAACTTTTTTAGATAACATCGGACCATCGTCTGTAAATTTCCTAGTGTGTCTCAAAACATG